CGAATTTTCAAAAAAAAAAAATTAAAATATCATTCGCGACCACCAGAGATCTTTTCAGCGCTTGGAACTCCCTGACGAAGCATCATGGTATCGTTTATGATATATATTCTTCATCAGCGTGTTAGAGCGATCAATATGAACCGCTGCACAACAAATTTCGACCAAATAAACGAATCTTCAAAAATTAAAAAATTAAAATAATATTCGGCACTCCAGAGATCTTTTTAGCGGTTGTAACTCCCTGACGAAGCATCATGGTGTCGACTATAATACATATTCTCGATCACAGTGTTACAGCGATCAATATCAAGTACTGCACAACAAATTTCGACCAAATAAACGAATTTTCAAAAAAAAAAAATTAAAATATCATTCGCGACCACCGGAGATCTTTTCAGCGGTTCTAACTCCCTGACGAAGCATCATGGTATCGACTATGATATATATTCTTCATCAGCATGTTAGAGCGATCAATATTAGGAGCTGCACAACAAATTTCGACCAAATAAACGAAATTTCAAAAATAAAAAAATTAAAGTAATATTCGGCTCGACCAGAGATCTTTTCAGCGGTTCTAACTCCCTGACGAAGCATCATGGTATCGACTATGATACATATTCTTAATCAGCGTGTTACATCGATTACAGTTATGTACTGGGCAAGGAATTTCGTCGAAATAAGCCAACTTCGAGAAATAAAAAAATGAGAATGATTCTGAGCGCCACCACAGATCTTGTCTAGACTTCGAGCTCCCTGTGGAAGCGGCGTGGGGTAGACTATGATGCATATTCTTTATCAGTGTGTTACAACGGTTAAAGTGATTTGCTGTGTAGCGAATTTTGACGAGATTCATCAACTTCGAAAAATAATAATATAATTATAACATTTAGCGGCTGCGTAGTGCCTTTCTGGGCTTGTAAGGTCCTGCCGAAGCTCCTTTACCTGGAGTATGATACGTGTTCTTGATCATTGTGGTTTAAGGATTAAATTTATACGCTGGACGCCGAATTTCGCTGAAATTGATCAACGTGGAAAAATAATAAAGTAGTAATAATATTGAGTGCCTCCATAGATCCTTTTTGGGTCTTCTAACGGGCTGTCGAAGCATGTTGGTGTTGAGAATCATATTTATTCTTCATCAGTGTGTTGTTCTGCTTGAAATCATGTGCTGGATGCGAATTTCGTGGAAATAAACAAGTTTCGAAAAATAAAAGTAATATTTAGCGCCCCCACGGATTCTTTCTTGTGGTCTGACACTCGGTGGAAGCATATTGTAATCGGTTGTTATACATATTCTCTATCAGCGTGTTAGAACGGTTAGAATTATGTGCTGGACGAGGAATTTCGGCGAAATTGATCAACTTCGATAAATAATAAAATAATGGTAATATTTAGCGCCGTCAGATGTTCGTTGTGGTCTTCTACCTGCCTGTCGAAGCATATTGGTGTCGAGTATGGGACATATTCTTCGTCAGTGTGTTGCAAGGATTAAAATTAGATGGTGGAGGACAAATCTCTATGAAATAAAGCAACCGGGACATATAATAAAATTTGTATAATAGTTAGCGCCTGGAGAGATCTTTTCCGGTCTTCTAACTGCCTCTCGAAGCATGTTGGGGTCTAGTATGATACATGTTGTGCATCAGCATGTTACAGCGAATAATTGAAGATTTGGGACGACGGATTTCGGCGAAATAAATCAACTTCGAGAAATAATAAAATAATTATTGTTTTTACCACCGGTACGGATCCACTCGGGTCCCGTAACTCTTTGTGGAGGCAATATTGGTGTCGAGTATGATACATATTGTTCATCAGGATGTTACAACGATTAAAGCAAGGTAATGGATGACAAATTTCGACGAAATAGATCAACTTTGGGAAATGTTAAAGTAATTATAATATTTAGCGCCTCTAGAGGACCCTTTTGGTCCTATAGCTCCCCGTGGAAGTATCTTGGTGTCATATGTGATATATATCCTTTTTCAGGTTGTTACAGTGATTAGATCCAGATACTGGAGGGCGACTTTCGAGGAAACAGAGCATCTTTCGGAAATAATAAAATAATTATGACATTGAGTGCCGCCAGAGATCTTTACTGGGCTTGTTGCGATCCGCCGATGCGTATTGGTGTCATGTATGATAGTTATTGTTTATGAGTATGTTACACCGAATAAAACTAGGTACTGTTCGATAAAATTTATAAGAAATGTAGAGTTCCGTGTAGTAGGGAAATGGTGTTGATCTGTGGGAAGTTTAATGGTAGCATTTATCATGAGTTTTTATGTATGACAAGTTGGGCATATGAAAACTGGGTAGTGTTGAAGTGTTTTCGATGATAGAGTGATATGTCGAGAGGATGGATTATATTTTGAAAATTTGTATAGTGGGGGAAACTTTTATTATAGATAAAGTCACACGAGAAGTTAATTTTTAGTATGTTGGAAAGTGTTCATATGTGAGCAAGTAGTGTGGCATGGGATTAGACTCTGTACGATGGTTGGCAGTGGGACTTTACTACGACGTAATAAATTTTGATAATTGTCCGATTGTTGTAGTTTAGAGAAATGTTGTGCCGTGACCAATCTGAATGGAATGGTAATCACATGGTGTCAGACGGATATGATTCGTTGGGAAATGTGAGCAATTGAAACTTGGTTGCTGAACTTTTGTCATTATTGGCAAACAGCTAGTGGAAGATTAATATAGACAATTCTAACGTTTTGTTGGTTTACGGAAGTGTTTTGTCGGCGGATGTTCGCGATAGTATGTATATTATGGCCAAGGTTGTTTGGTATTGAGGATCCAATTAGGACGATTGGGCCAGGGTATTGAAGTAGTAGTTGGCGTGACTCAGTTGGTATGGTGAGATAGTTTGTTTTTTGTTTTTGTTTTTGGAGGATTTAGTATCGTATGGTTTTTTTTTGGCATCGTAAGTTTGAATAAAAAGATCTGGTTTGTAGTGAGTTTTTCACACCAACTTGAAATTGTTAGTATTGATGAGATATGGGTTGAGGATATTTGGTATCTGCAAAAAGAGTATTTTTTTTGCGGAGCGTATGATGCGTGGAAGAATTTGGCATTGGTAGTGTATTTTAATGATCTCTTTTATCGGTATGACGTGAGTGTTTTTTTGTGCGTTAGGAAAAAAATAATTCGATTCGTTCTTAACATCGTTCCTTTTATTGGATGAAATGAAATTGTTGGAATTTCGGATGCCTCCGTAGAGGAAAGATGGAGTGGATGAATTATTTACCAGTTCTGTGTCAGCTAAGAGTTTATTCGTTGGGTAAAAATAAGAAATCGGATCCAAGCTTCATGTTATCTCGTCATGCCAGATAAACCTCTATGCGTGCTGTATCATTCGAAGTTAATACAATTCAAGCTCATGATCAGATGCAATGACGTCTTTCGTATGTATATTTTAATAAGCACAGCAATAGTTTTGTAGGATAATTTTTTTGCATGATATAACTTGTACAATAAATTGTTTTGAAAATTAAGTACAGTTTTTTTTTCGTTATATAATGGTCAATCTATGGATAAAAAAATTCGAATAGTTTTATTTTAGATTTAAACTGAAAATGAGCAGACCATTATTCTATTTCAATCTTTCATGCATTTTTTATTGGGTGTCAACTATTTCTTCTGTTGCTGGTTATAATGAGACCTCGACATATACGAAAAAAAATCCAGTATTCATACGTTGGGGTTATATGATTTTGGAATCATTTATATCTACATTATTTGGTGTAGTGATATCTATTATAATCAACTACATTCAATCAAAACGTATGAAGACTTTAATTGAATCTACAAAAAAGGAATTATTGAACACATACTTCATGAATAATCGGATGAATAAACATGAAAAAATGTCAATATTATCCAATTTTATACCATTAAAATCATTCAAATGCTTGAATATTGATCATACAACGTCACCTGTCATTGTCGAGAATTTAATTGCTCAAGTTAAACAAATAAGCAGATTTACTATTTTTCCCTATGATGATATATTATCGGATCGAAAATTCTTTGAAATCGAGTTCATTCAAGAATCAGCTTCCATCATCATTACTATTGAAATCTTTCATCAATCAACTCTTTTATTTGAAAAAATCGACAAATTACTTTCTGTCATCTTTGAATCGTCCAATATGATACAAACATGGGGTGATTTGGATAGAAATCTGTTAGATTATCAAATTTATACCGTCTTTTTCTATGGTAATATTAATAAAAGTGATTTCGTTAATGTACAAAATAATTTCAACTATTGGTATCAAAGAAATTTTGGTCTTAATAAGAATTGTAGTGGAATACTTGACTTTCAAGACACAGATATTCCGTTATATTCACATTCAATACGACCCTATAAATATTCAAAATACACAAGATCACTTTGCATGGCACTTGCTTTCACATGTCAAGAAAATCTCTATTATGAAAATAATAGTAATGTTGAATGTTTAGCCATCACTAAATTGTCCACTATTATTCATACACAATGGACATGTCAAGAAATTGAAGACTATCGGAAAGAAAATCAAGTCCAATATAAAGTAAAGTTTGAATTCTTCCTTAGATATTCTTGACAATGACTTTATTCTTCTATTTTAGAATGTATAAAACTATTTCATTCTCGTCAAATATACGATTTGATACATTTAACGAACTTACTCCTATTGTTAAACAAACCATTTAAATTCTTGCGTTTTCATATGCATCATGTTCTTTTTCTTTTTGTTTTTTGATTTATTTGAATCCTTAATAATCATTATCTTCTGTTTTTCTATTGTCAAGATATCAATCTCTAGTGTTCTGTCTTTCTTTTCCATGATTTAAATCAAACATCATCTTTCGAACGCATTATTGATTTACTTATCTATAGATAACATATTCGACATCATAATCATTCTCTTCTATATTAATTCTTATTGACGATTAAAATAAAAGTTCATGGCCATTGCAACACCCGTAGTAAGTCATTTTCTTCTTCAATCTCTGTTTATTTTCTAATACATGTTTTCATGAAAATAGAATGCCCATACAACTTATTTTGGTGATATCTTTCGTCCACTTCAAAATGAATTGGACATGGAAGCAACAGATTTACATTTGAATATGAATATTAAAGAAGATTATGTTAAAGAAGATATACCAGATTATTTATCAGCATTGAATTCATCATTTAAAGCAATTTTTCTTCCTGAATTGCGTCGTTCTTATAATCCAATAGACTTTGGAGACTTACAGTTTTTAGCATTTCAGCTGCTGTTGTCAAAACCATCATTAAATCAGCTTTTGTTCGTTGTATGATTCTCGTATAGTTAAACGATAATTTTTCACGTAGTCGAGCATCGCTGATGGTAGTAATCGATGTTGGTAGTGTTTCTTCAAGTATATTCAATGAATTAGGTAAGTTCTTGTAGAAAACACCAAACTTCAATAAAATTAATTCTTGTTCAGATTTTTCTTTTTCAAGTTGAAGAGTACATATATTTTGTGCTAATTTAATCTAAAATTGAAATAAAAAAAAAAGACAAAAGACAAGATGGATCAAAATAGAAAAAAACTCAATGAAGAAATAAATCGAAAACATACTTGTTTGTCATTAGGCTTTTGTTGAACATATTTAAATTGTAGTAATTGATCCAAAGAACTATATTCAACCAATTCCATTCTTGCTTCAAAATGAAGTCTGATAGCCGTAACATGATCAGCCTTCTGAATGAATTCATCAATTTTATAGGTCAATTCATCAGAACTATGATCGATACGATCTTTTGTCGCATCAAATTCATGTTGATAGTGACTTGCTTTAGTATCTAAATGAAATAGATTTTTTTTGACAAAATTAACATAAATATCATGAGTAATTTCATTTTCATGAATGATATCATTATAATGTTGAGCTATGATCATAGATGTAACCGGAAAAGGCAAAATACAAAGAGATCTAGTACTATTTTGTTGTTCTTGCTGTTGCAATTGTTCTCGTTTATAAAGTAGACGAGTACCACATTTTAAGTAAACATTCCAAAGTTTTCGATGCAAATGGATGATAGATAATTTGTGTGTAAGAAATGCTAAAAACTGTAAGTCTCCAAAGTCTA